TATATATATATATATATATTATTTATATATATATTTTTTTTTATATATATATATTTGAAAATAATATTGAACTTTAATTATATGTATATATTTTATATTTAAATGCTTATTATTTTGTGTACGCGTTTTATCTTTAATGGTTTGGCTCGTCGATCCTATGTCTCCAATATACGAATAACTTTCCTCTTTTTCTTCGGAAATAAATATATGCCTCATGACTACTATGGCTCAAAAATGGGCTTGACTAAGAACGAACCAAATTAGGTCCGACGTGTCATTTGTTCTTTATATCCTTCACACAAAGAGTATATTGCTTATTTATACAAAAGTCCAGAAAACAGAAGAGAAGAGAAGAGGATAAGAATCTGTCTTTGTAATGTAATGAAAATGTTTGCAATGGAGACAATTCTATATTAGGTTTTCAGCTAGTGTGGAACTAATTAATTTTTAAACTGATCAATATAAGAAAAAGTTCATAAAACGGTTTAATTATGTTAAAATTTATAATTTAAAAATAGAGATGATGCGGAACTAATTTAAAATGTGAATATTGTCACTTTTCTTGGAAAATTGATTCAAGGGTATTATGGTGCGTATGAGTAACATGAAGGACACCTGATAAATTAATTTTTTTTAAATTACTTCTGGAAGCAATATCACACTGGAAATATTTATTTTCGAAGAAGAATTTATTGTTTAATCGGAATTAAAAGTAAAAATGAAAAATTTGTGTGACGTATTCCTCTGTTTTTTTTTTACTGAAAAATCGTGTGTATGGGTTTGGAGTGATGTGAAGGATAAATAAATTTTTTAAAAGTAGTTCCAACGACAATATCGTCCTGAAATTTTTGAGTTTTATGTACAATTTTATTACTAATTGAAATCAAAAATATTATATAAGAATATTTGTAGTATATTTTTTGAAAATTCATTTAATGTAAATATAGCACGCATGTGTTTGATGTGTTTTATGAGAAAAAAAAAAATTTAAAAAATTTATAAAAATCGATACTATCATGAAAATTTTTTATTTCTTAGTAAAATTCAAAACTGAATCTAAATAAAATATAAAAAATGAAAAATGTTGTGTACCCTTTTGAGATATCTTTTTTTTTGAAATTTAACGGTTAATATTAGTACTTAAATATAAACAATCTTAATTGTTTAAACAATTTCTTAAAAGCTCAACCAATTATCTTTAAAACGCAATAAATTTCAAGTTTCTACCTTTTATAGAACTTGAGATATAGCTATTTGAAAAATGTGTCTACACACTGCAATTCTCAAACCCCAGGGTCCATATCTCCTAGGAAAAAAATTACAAAATTTTTTCCCGAGATACGGGTCTTCTTATTTTATGAAAGGAGCTCATAAAAAAAATTTCAGTCAAATCGGAGGTGATGAGGTCAAAAAGGTTTCCGGTTTGTAAAAGAATGACCCACTTACAGTAATGTATTTGAAGTGTGAATTAAAAATTTGAATATATCTGAAAAATATAAAAACTGACTGGGATAGCCTCAAAAACAACTTTATATGTTATTACTTAAACTTTATTATTTATTAATTTATTATACTGAAATTCTTAAAAGAAGTGAATACGAAAGGGGGAGCTTTATACAGCTCCTTAATGTATGAAAATTTGTCGAAGTGATTCTGGTAATGATATTTTAGCAATTGTTTTTTTATTAATGTGAATTTCAAAATGTTTCATTTTTCCCATGTAAAATAAAACTAGGACATTTCTTATAAAAAAAGGTATAATTTTCATAATGTAATTTTTTAATTGTAAATATTAATATAAAA